ATAGAAGTAGATATTTAAGTTTTCATGTTGGACAATGAATTGGTATAAATCAGATGCTGAATATTGTACTTAATAGAAATGCATGTTGGAAAACTATAAAACACGTAGGCAGTGTGGTGTTATTTGTTTTGTTTGGTTGTTAATAAATCTTTCGTTTTTATGATTAGCAACTTCAAAACAGCTTGAATAACTTTGCAGCACCGTGGTCGTTGAATCCAGGAGACGGAGCATTTTATGGTCCTAAGGTTAGTGAATCAGTATTTTAATACGACTCTGGGGGATGGACAAGAATACAGACAACACGTAGACAAACTGCATCAGGTAACTGTGGTAATTTGTTTCACAGATTGATATTAAAATTAAAGATGCTATTGGCAGATACCATCAATGCGCTACTATCCAGCTTGACTTCCAACTACCCATTCGATTTAATCTTACTTATGTTGGGTGAGTGGTTAAGCTACTTATCTTCAAACTAATTGTCTGCATCTAAGTACCCTGTGTGGTTTATTAGGGGAAACATCTGTGAAAGGACTAAATCATGAACTTGAACGTTTTTCCACAGTATAGTGGTGTAACGATAGCTCACTTTAATTGTAAATGCCATTGGTTTTAGGAAAATTTGGTGATCTGTCTTGTCTACCAGTTATCAAGACAACTGATCATATGGCTCAGTACTCACTTTCAGCCTAGTAACGTGTCTCCTTTTAAAACTTAGGAACCCATTCCAGTAGCTACAGGCATGATTATTTAAGTCACTGTGATTATTGAGTATTCCTTTAGAAGCCTAGGTTACTTGAAGTATGTTATTAATGAAAATGGCAAGTTTTGCCTAGTATAAATCACTAGCTTTCTTTTTCCATGAGTAGTAGAATCAAAAGAATTAGGATTGTGTGTGCATGATCTAAGAGAAATATGTTTTTGAATTTTGGTTATTCTTTTTCAGTAAAGATGGCGACGATAAGAAAAGACCAGTGATCATTCACAGAGCTATTCTGGGATCTGTGGAGAGGATGATAGCTATTCTAGCAGAAAACTATGGAGGGAAATGGTATGTGGCACAAATGCAGTTCTAAGAAATGTTTAACAGCATTGCTAGAAAATTTAGATCCTCCCTAATGTCCCATAAATTATAATAATGCAGAACGATTTCCCTCAGGTTTTCTCAAAATTAGGGAAGATAACAAGAAAAGAAGTCTAATTTTATAGTCAGAATTGTGTATTGTTCTATTAATAGCTCATGGTTAGAAATTCAGTTTTATGAGATAACAATTGCAATTGCACATGTTTGTTTTTTTCATTTTACTTGTTCCTTTGTCCTCAGAAGCCATACTGTTGTACTGGGAAAATGCTAAGTATATGTAAGGTAGTTACTTATACAGGCATAAATTAGCCTAGGTATGCCGAGGAATTTTTTCATTAGTAAGTTGTTCTACTTCATCTTGAATTAGCTCTAAAGCTCTCTCTTCATTAATGGATCGAATGATTAAGGAAGAGTGAATTCTCACTTTCAAACACAGAGACTGTCCACCTAGCGCTATAAAGTTATATAAAAAATAAAAGTGAAAATTATGTGAAAATTTGGAATTTTGTTTAAAATTGTGAAATCAAAAAGTGAACAGAAGGTCAAAGTTCTGCCTATGTCATTTCACTGGAATCAATTTATTTTCTATTTGATATGAATTGGCAATTATGAAGGTAACTTTATACAACATCCTTAACTTGAATAAATATTTTGATGAAAAAAAAATATATATATATTGGGCAACATTTCTGTGGATATGAATGAAAATGTAAAATAGACATTTGATATTTTTTTGTCATGCTTGCCAGGCCGTTCTGGCTGTCTCCACGGCAGGTCATGGTTGTGCCTGTGGGACCTACTTCTGAGGAGTATGCACAGCAGGTGAGAGTAGAGCCTTTTGTAGCAAGCAATTTTAATAGCTCCTTAAATAGCTGTCCTAGAACAAAGAGTGAATGCTTTAATAATATGGAAGTCATTTGGGGGTGAATTTTTCTGAACCCTCTAAAACTTGCTTCAACCTGAGAAAGGGAAATATAACTAAATATTTGGGGTTCTGTTACTGTTACATAATTCATAACTAGTTATGGGAAAAAATACTCTGTGCTACATTCTTTACGTTCTAACAAATAGTTCTATAACAAAATACCTGCTTAATGTAGAGGTAGATATATTCCTAGTGTCTATACTCTTGACTACATTATATTTGAGCAGAGTTACTTTCTACTTGCCCCTCCTCCCCCATTTTCTTTTAGTGCAAGCATAAATGGTTTTCTTCCTTCACCTTTCTCCTTTTCTTCTTTCTGTGACTGAGTATACATTTTTGGCGTTCAGCAGTGTAACTACCTGAGGAGATTAGCAAATGTTTGATATGGGTATTACATTGTATTTCCTCTAACAAGGAATGGTTAAGCCTTGAGGTCTTGTCACGCCCTTAAGGGTGTGTGCAGTTTTCTTCAAAAAACGTAATTGACTTCATTAAAACAGCTGTTCATAACAGCCAAATTATGCATTTCTGTGATTTATTGGAAGGATTAGAGTATGTACAAGATCATGTTGTAGAATATACCCTAATGTTAAAGTAATTTTATTTTTTTTAGGTGTGCAGTGAGTTTTTTGAAGCAGGATTTATGTCAGATGTGGATCTAGATCAGAGCTGCACGTTAAACAAGAAAATTAGAAATGCACAGCTGGCTCAATACAACTTTATCTTAGGTAACTTCAGTATCTTACGTTTCTGAATATCATTTAAGTTTTAATGTTGAGTATAGAGTTTGCCTAGACTTTACTTTGTAAAGTAAGTTGTCAGTTTAATATTGTTTTTGATGTGTTTTGCAGTGGTTGGAGAAAAGGAGAAAGCAAATAATGCCGTCAATGTGAGAACAAGAGACAACAAGGTTCATGGAGAAATTTCAGTATCTTCTGCTATTGAAAAACTCAAGAAATTCAAGAATTCACATATTCCAAATGCAGAAGAAGAATTCTAACGTTGCTGTTAGGAAAAAATATATATATTAGCTGCCCATGTGAAATAGTGTTGCTTTCCTCCTTTGCAGCAGTAATGCTCATCTGAAAGAATTTGCAGCTAATGGGTGCACAAAACAAGGAAATGTAGCAATGTTGGTGCTTGAAAAATAGCATGAGAGTATAAATGCAACTGGTAATTCTTAACAATGATGTGGGATTCCAATTTGAGCTAGTTGCAGAGGTTTTTCTTATAGAAGTCTTACACTTCTGTTAAAATATGTTGATTTGACTGTGTAAATGAATCAGAGGTACACTAATTCAAGCAACAGGAGGCAGGGAAATGTACTGGCTGCTGCTACTGCTGCTGAACTACCTCAGTCACATAGCAGTTGCCTAACTGATGTGGCCTGAAATCCAAAGCTTCACCCTTGGGTTTCACTTTTTTTCTAACTCCAAATTATGTCAAATATGTATTTTTGGAGTAGGAGGAAAATAGCTTCTCTGCTGAAAATCTCTGCATCTCTGTTGAAAATCTCAGTGAAAGAAGGCACTGAATGAGCTGGTGGGCTGTTTTGCTATAAATGTGATTGCCAAGAATGAAGTTGAATTAACCACTCTATCTGTGTGTGCAAAGTGCTTTATTTTTGCCTGTGTTTGCTGTTGGTTTGGCTCCTTAAAAACAAGAAAGAAAGAAAAAAAAAAACACCACTAAATTCACCTTCAGAAAACCTTTGTATGTAATTTATTGCTGTGCTTGCTTGGGATACTGAGTACTAAAAAGGTATGGGTGACATAATGTTCATTGTTTCCATTTTAAGTATGATGGAATATAAATTGATTATATTTATCTGACTTAATTGTTTATGCTTATAAATGACTTAAAGTTAGTGGTGCAACCAATGGAGTCTTTTTTCTAGAACTGAGTTTTAACCATTATTTTTTTCACTTTTATATGCCCTTTCTTAGCAACAAGGCTGAGATCTTGCTCAGTGTTACTCAGTGATGGGAAGTATACAACTGCAGTTAATGATTCCCATATCACTGAAATGAAACAGAAGGTAGTTTGATACACAGATGTCCTACAGATACAAATCTACTGTTTCCCTTTTGCCTGCCACTTGTGCAGACTTATGTTCAATGGGCCTATTTTTGGTATGGTGTTAGTCTTGTGAGTCAATTTTTGCCAACTGATTATCACCAACTTTAAGAAAAAAAAAATCGAAGGAAGAAGTGCTGGGAAAGCTTTCTGTTCAACTCCATAATGTGGGGTACCATTTTTAACAATATATTTTTGGGTGTAAAATCTCAGGTTTTGTTTACCATACATAAAGTAAGATGTGTTTAGACTCTAGAATTAAAACTTTTTTTTTTTTTTAAGTGAATTTCTGGGATTTTTAAATATAATCCTTCTTAGCACAAGTTTATTTATGTGGTAGGCATCTCAGCTTCCAGAGGCACTGCAGCAGTGGCAGAGGTCACTGAAGGTTGTAACTTAAAGGGAGTGATAAATCCGTGTTCTGCAGGGTGACGGGGAGAGAAAAGCACAGGTAGGCAAAGGGAGGGGAAAGAGAGGCAGTCTCATCATCAGGATCTTGATGAATAAAATTTGGGACGAGTATAGTACTGAAAGAAGGAATAGTAAAAAGGAAGCTGCTCTTTTATTTTTTTTTTTAATGCCCTTCCCCTGCCCTCTGAGAAGGGGAGATGGTGGATCTGGTAACAGACTGCGTGAAATCTTTGTTATTTATTTATTTATTTTTGGTCCTGCGGGCCCACTTTTGGTCAGCAGCTTCTTCCTGTGCTGTTTTTTTGACCCCTTTCCCAGGCTCCGAGGGCGGGCCGCTACTTGGAGGCCACGGTCAACTGCGGCTGCCTGCGGGGCTGCCCCCTCCCTGTGCCATTTGCTCCAGTCTCGTACCACGGTCGGGCACGACCTCCCAGCGCCCCGCTGCCCCTCCGAGCTCATCCCCCTCACAGAGGCGGTGCCGGGGGGGGGGCTCTCGGGCGGCCTCGCTGCCCCCTCAGCCGTTCCCGCCTCGGCCTCGCCCCGTCCCCGCCCCGCGGCGGGCAGGGCCGGGCCGTGAGGGGAGGCGGTGCAGACAAGATGGCGGCGCTGGCGGTGCGCGCCCTGCGGCGGCTCGGCGGCCTGGCGCTCCTGGTGGCGCAGCTCTACGGCCTCGCCGGCCGCGGTGAGCCTGGCCCCGGCACCGCCTTGTCCCCGGGGCGAGCCGGGGAGGGTGCGGTGGCCTCCCGGGGGGAACCGGGGGGAAAGCGGGGGGCAGCGGGGCAGGGCGGCGGTACCTGCCGTGAAGGGTGAGGGGGAGAAGGCTTCGTTCCCCGGCACTGCGCCAGGCTCGGTGCGCCCCAGGGCGGTGTGAGGCAGGCGCTGTGCGGTGTGTGGGGCCGGGGGATGGGGCTGGGCTGAAATAACGCGGCTCGGCCAAGGGGGAGAATCGGCTCCAGTGCTCGTCTGAACGTGAATGTCCTGCGAGCTGTAAAATATGAAACAGTATTCTTACGTGTTTTCATTGTCCTTACATTTTGCATTGTGTTATGGAACCTGTGTGCTGAAATCAAGCTGTTTCTGACGGATGTCATTCTAAAAATATCATTTTTTTTTTTTTTTAGCAGGATCTTTGATGACCACGAAGCATTCACAGCCCCAATCAACATTTGCAAAGAGTCTTACTTCAACAAGTACAAATATTCCCAATTTTAAGACGACAGGTACAATGTTATGATATTGCTTTTTTTTTTTTTTTTCCTTCTGTGAGCCTTCTTCCTCTGAGTCTGGAGTCCAGTACTAAAGTCCTTGGATTCTGCCTGAGAAACCTGTGCACGCTTTCACATGAATCAAAGACATTGTAGTGTTAACACATCAAGAATTACTTTTAAATGTCATTAACAACTGATTCGGATGATATAATTAGATTGTTCATATAAAATATTACAGGTAGAAAATGGTCAGTTACACTGTTACTGTGGTTCGTGTGTTCTACATTCACTTTGGATGGTAGAAGTTCTTGAAAGACTTGCACATTCTGCAAGAAGTTGTTACTGTCCTATGTAACTACATCCAATGTAACTACAATTTTTGTAAACCATTGAAGAGAACATCTAGGTAATACTGTTTGAGCCAGAAAACAGTTTAAGAGGTGGTTGTATGAACACATACAAAGAGCAAACAGTTAATTTAGTCCTGAACCAAAGGGACCTGTATCTATGCCAAAACTGATTATTTCTGCTGAGGATTACAGGCCAAAAGGCACTCTGTGTTAACCCATGTTAAGCACCATTCTGGTATTGTATCGTACGGTGTTGCTGTGCTGTCCTGCGCAGAGCTTCTCAAGATCCTTGCAGGTTGCTCTGCTGTGTTCCATGGATAACTTGGATTCTGGTCACTGTATCATAAGGAAAACCTTGTGCGCAGTGTCAGTGTGTGTATGTGTGTGTATGTAGAGAGACTATATATATATATTTATTTTTTTTTTTAATTTTATTAACGTATTTTACCTTTCAGAAAGTACAGAAATTCCATCTTATGTGAGTAATTGTCCTAGTAACGGACTTTGCAGTAGATTGCCACCAGACTGTATGACGTGTAACACAAACTATTCTTGTGTGTATGGGAAGCCAGCCACTTTTGATTGCAAAGTCAAGCCACATGTTCATTGTGTTGTAAGTAACCTATTACTTTTAAACACAATTTTCAGTAATTTAATTCAAGTGTGGCAAGTTGTCAAACATGTAAATAACTTTAAAAAATATATTATTTTTTAAAGGGGTTGCTGAATTCTTACATAGGCAGGTTCATAGTTTTGAAATACATTTAATCTGATCCAACTACAGGCTGCTGATGGAGAGGCAGATCTCTCCTTCTCTGGGTTGTGTTTCTTGCATTGGATGTTTTTGCCATGCAGCCACATGATTGAGTAAAATGAGCTTACTGACCAATGAAAACTGAACTATTTTGAGAATGGGGAGGCTAAATCAAAGGTACAAACTGATTTGAGGATGAGACAGCAAGTGAGAACAAGCTATTTGTCAGCAGCTTTGGTTAAATTAGAGGAAGTAATAATACTAAAACTGTGCTGAATACCTCTTTGTCAGCTTTCTCATGTTGATTTTCTGTGGAACACTGAGGTATTAAAGAGCGAGTAACCGCCATTTTGCCCAAAATGTCTGTCTATGAAATGCCATTTGATATTGAATGCTGACCTTTTTGTATTATTAATGAAGTGATAATATTGTCCTTCTGTAGGATCAGAATAACCACGAGCAGGAGAACTTTACAATTAACATGACGTGCCAGTTTTGCTGGCAGCTTGCAACAACAGATTATGTATGTACCAATTCTACAAACTGCATGACGGTTTCTTGTCCACGACAGCGATACAATGCCACTTGTACGGTGCTGGATCACATTCATTGCTTAGGTAAGGCAGGCTAAAGAAGATTTTGTAAAGTTTGTTTGCTAAAATGTTTTAACATTTTTATAGCAGGTCAACACAGTGGTTGTTTATAGCAGTTACAGTAGCTTGCTGTATTTTTTCTATAGTTACATTTTAATTCTTCCTTTTAAAAGTGACACCTAATTGTAAATGTTTTTTTTATGACTGATTGTATACTTTCACGTGAGAGAAAATAGGTCTATTTTATTTTTGTCTACTTCTATGAATCAAACTAATTTGGACAACATTAATAGAAGCCATTTCAAATGTCTCAGCAGGACAATTAAAAATGTCATGCTGATTTCCCCCAGGTAGTTAAGTGTTTCCTGTTTATTTGTTCAATTATCTTGCATGTTCTCTGGTGTGAGAGAAAGATTGATGGAACAGAGGACTGTGGAGTATAGGCATTTTTAACAGTGCTTATTTCAATTAGTGTCAACCCTTTTAGGCTCCTGTTAGAGAAATACAGTAAGCTTTTGCTTCACATGTCGTGTTCTTGCTCATTGTGTGATCTCTGTATGTTGCATTAATGTTTGAACGTTTTCTAATGTTTAGGTAATCGAGTCTTTCCAAAGATGCTCTATTGCAATTGGACTGGAGGTTATAAGTGGTCTACTGCCTTGGCACTAAGGTACAAAAGAACTTCTAGAGAACTTAAAAGTTTAAATGTGTATTGTTGTAAACATACTGTGTATAAAATCTTCAGTCTGCTTTTCTGCTCAGTGGGTGTTTTTAATGGTGTACTGAGTACCCCATACATAATATAGTCTGGTTTAGGGTTTGGAGGCATATAATGCCAGTAGATTTCATTTACAATAGATGCTGTCTTAAGTAAGTAGAGCTTGAAAGAAAACTTTTTTTTTACCCTGTTTCTGGATCTAATGTACTTTCTCCAGTGCATGTGCAAATGCTTCTTAGGGTTCACAAATGATTCTTTTTTTCTGAGTAGTGTGTTCTTTTATTCTGTATGATGTCAAATGAGGTATAAATGCTCAGAAAATTATGTACACTTCGGATGTTTCCACCCCTTTGTAATATTACATTTGTTAATGTAATTACACTTAAGACTTCTTTACAAAGTGTTACAGCTAGAAATGCTTTAAAAGGGAAGATTGTTGCGTTGCATTTTGAAATTATTAGGGAAGAGACCAGTGCAGCAGTTTTGAAATAAGCTGTTTAGGTGATTTTTGATGTATTAAGCCATTAGAGCACTACAATAATGATTTGAAAGTAAATGAAGTTCTTTGGTCATGCTACCTTTTTCATTAAGTTTTAGTACTTCAGAAATGATAAATTAGGTAGTAAGAGCGTGTATTTCCCAAGACAAAGATATAATAACACTCTGATTAAGAATGTGATCTAACACACTTTCCTTTATAGCAAGAGCTGTTAACTCTACCACCAGGTGGAGAAATCAAAAGCTGCATGAATACTGCATGGGGCTGAGTGCACCATTTGGTTCCGTGTTTCTGTAGCTTGTTTGTTTGTTTTTTAAGTTTCTGCCAGGTTAGAAAAGTAGAGAGACAGATTTTTGTTTGAGAATTTTGGTTGTTATTGCTTGTCATGAATGACAAACTTAAGTCTCTGGATAATAGTAATTGGCTAAGAATGTTTTTTTATCCAAAAGCTTACTCAGTGACTCATCTCTTTTTGTACAAAAAAATAAGTTTCTTGCACAATATAAAACAAAACTATAATCAGTTTGCAGGCTGATCAGAAAGGTGCAACAGAAAAAAGTACAGAGAAGAAAGTGTATCACAAAAATTGAGTTCAGCTAAAAATCATTAAACCCTGTTTTCATTCCTATAGCATCACCCTTGGTGGATTTGGAGCCGATCGTTTCTATTTGGGCCAGTGGCGGGAAGGTCTGGGAAAACTCTTCAGCTTTGGTGGACTCGGAATATGGACACTCATTGATGTGCTACTCATTGGTGTGGGCTATGTGGGACCTGCAGATGGTTCTCTTTACATTTAAATGTAGATGCAGCATGTTTCAGAGAGGAGTAATTGCTGGGAAAAGGCTCCAAGGAGAAGAACGTAGAAATTCGTGCCGTTGAGTTAGAACAAAGAACAGCTGTTCTTTTTATGTGCATATATTTTAACGTACAGTATCTGTACTTAGTTTGCCTTTACTAAGGTAAAATAAAAGAGTGGATCACTAAGCTGACATTCATTTCCCTTCTTTTATGGACATGTTATTTTTCTATGAAAAAAGTTGATCAGCTAGCTGGATTCTGCACTATTGAGCTTGGATGGTCTGTCAAGCATCAAACCAAATGTAAGCTACCTTGAATATTGAGTTGTTTACTTCATGTTGTATCCCTGAGTTTGACTTCCTTAAACATGTCAGTAATATATGTATTTTTTTGTATTTGTGGAAGGATAATTTATTTGCCTAAGGTTCTCTAGCAGTCTGTACAGCACCATGTTTTGTGATCTTCATCTCTGTTTTGGGGCATAGCAAGACATTGGCTTAGTGACTTGACTGAAAACTGTGGGGCTATAGGATTAGATTGCACTAAGATCTAAATATGAACTAATTAAGATACCTTTTAGGATTATGCCAAGATGTCTGTATTTAGGTTGGGCTCGACCGAAAGGTACTGTTATCCTTGTGCTAGCAAACCTGCAAGTTAATTACAAAAACAATTAAGGGGGAGGTGGGGCGGGTGGATATAACCATGTACTGCAGTTCAGGCCCCTAGCGCCGCGCTGGGGGCCCGGTACCAGGGGCAGGGCCGGGGCTGTGGGGTGCTCCCGGCCCTCCGCCGCCTCTTGTCGCTTGTGTGGGGAATAAAGTGCGGCCGCCGCGGCTCCTCGCCTCCGCCTCGTTCTTGGGGACTCGCCTCCTGCCGGGGGCGGGCGGCCGCCCTGACACCGCCCCCGGGCACCGCGCTGCCATGGCGGCCGCCGGGGAGCGGGAGCGGGAGCGGGAGCTGCGCTTCTACCGCGAGCTGCCCAAAGTGGTGAGCGCCGGGCCCCGGGGGGCGGCGGGTGGGGTCCCTCACCGGGCAGCCCTTCCCTGCTGCCCCGGGCCCCCAGAGCCTTTCCTTCCCTCACGCCCTCCGAGTTTCGCCGGTTCCTTCAGGGGCGATAAGGCCTCAGCGCCGGGGGCGCCCCGCTACCGGCCCCGCTATCGGCCGCAGCCGCGCCTCCCCGTCAGGGCGCTGCTGGGGCTGCGCCGGGGCTGAACCGCGCGGTGCCTGCCTTCAGCCAGCTGAAATGTAACATCTTAAAAAAGCCGAAATTGAATCTTGTAAGAGTTAGGTTTTCGACATGCTTGCCGTTCCAAACCTTGGGGAAACGTTTCACCAAGTTCTTACCCCCTGAGAAGGGCAGGATGCCGGGTGGGTGCGTGTAACGGGGCAGGCGGGTTTGGAACAAGTTGGGAGGGCACTGGGGAACTGCTGTACATCAGGTGCCCAGAGATCATAAGGAGGAGCAGAGATCAAGTGAGGGATGCAGCTGAGGGTCTGGGGTTTGGATCTGTCAGTCAGGCTGACAAGAGAAAGGCAGAAATCAGTCTCGGGCAGTGGAGGGCAATTAGTCCAGGTGCCATTAATGGGTTGAGACTGCATCTTGCTGGATTTCTGCTGTGAGTTAAGGCTTCAAAGTATTGAGAAAAAAAAATAGTTGAGCAGATTAGCTGCAATTAGCTGGAGAGCTCTTTCCTAAGCTAGCTGTGCACCTGGTGAGATCAGTGCTAACAGCCCTCCGAGTGACAACATGAGAGTCCTAGTTGTTCTTGTGCACGTGAAAGTGAGAGGAAGCAGCTGTTAGCCAAACGTGGAGATAATTGTTATTTTCCAACTTGGAGTGAAACAGTAGTGTAAGATACAAGAACGCTAACACAAACAAGGTGTAGAAGCCGTACTTTTCACTTAAAAGAAACAAACCCATAGTGTATTTCCCCCCCAGGAACTTCATGCTCATTTGAACGGCTGTATCAGTTCTGCCACAATGAAGAAACTTATGGCCCAGAAACCATACCTTCAGATCCAGAACGGAATGACTATGATCGACAAAGGGAAGAAAAGAACCTTAGATGAGTGAGTAGATATGTGTGTGTGAGAGATGAACATTTACCAAGTGTCTTTTAATTCAATTGAAAACAGAACTATATGGCCTTGTATACTGACTGCAGAAAATATGTATTGGAGTCGTATTATGGTAAGATCTGTTTGATTTTTTTCTAGTTGTATCTATCTAAGAGGTGACTTTAGATCACTTTTTACAAACACGTTTGCGAACAAAATGTAAATCTTATGTCAGTATTTTCTCTTGCTAAAGTACTGTTACTTTCTACAATCAAAAATTGCATTTAAGATCGTCTTGATTGTCCTTTGAAGGAAAATTCAACATGTAATTTAAGCTACAAGTTGGTTAATTGAACACTGAGTATGTTTTCAAGATATAGGTGTCTTTTTTTCTATCAATACTCATTTTTCTGTTCAATGTTTATTTTTTAACTTTTTATTTTAGATGTTTTCAGATGTTTCAGATCATCTATCAGATAACCACTAGGGCTGAAGATATTTTACTGGTAAGCTAATTAAGACTTAGCTTCAAACAAACAAGCAATATGCAAAGTCAAAATTGTTTGGTTTAACAACATTGGGTTCCAAGTAACAGTATCAACATTGTTCCCTTCAATTGGAAGTCAAATTTACTAGTGTAAGACACATTAATTTTGAAATACAGGATTGTATATAACCTTTCAGTTTGGTATTTTTTAAAAGTAGTGAGCTTCCAGTATGGTGGTCATTATTAGCACTCAGATGGTTAGACGGCTAGTGTCGTAAAAATGGGATGTCTGCTCATCATTAACAAAGCTTCGATTTACCATACTTTCCTTCATCTTCTTTGGCTTGTTACATACCAAGACTATGTAACCAGGATGTTTACCATGGATTACAATATTGACAGGAAGAGTGGTTGTGGGATCACAACAGAGAAGAAAGTGGTGTAGTGTCGTCTTTTTTCCTCCTGTAAAAGGACTTCTAGGCAGCCTGTTAAATTTTGAGAACGATGCAGTAGCTGTGAGAGGGGTTATGAGTGTGCCAGCTAAGGAGTGTTCTTGTTCGGACATGGAAATTCTCATTTGTTATAACTCTCTCTAGTGTCTGAGGGAACTGAAGGTATCTATCATGGGTAGTATTTTCAGGGACAGAGAATGCTGGAAACACATGGGGCCTGATCTTTTGTAAGTGTTTCACACCAAAAGATAAGTAGGTCCTTCTGTTGTAAAAGAGAATATAAACAATTATAAGGGTTACTTTCATGTTGTTGAATATACTGTTTCTTACTCAGATAACTAAAGATGTTATTAAAGAATTTGCTGATGATGGTGTCAAGTATCTGGAATTAAGGAGCACTCCTAGAGAAGAAAAGTCCACAGGTACAGTCTGTTCTAGTTTTTAATTTTTAAGTCTGAAGTACTGTAAGACTTACTTAAGATTCTGCTAATAACAAGGCAAGTCAAATTCAGTTGGTTCAAGAAAAAATATTTTAAATATGAAAGCGAAGATTTAGTGAAGTAAAAACATGTTACTTCACTATTAGATTTTCAGGGACGAAGACTTGTTGGTTATAATTCCATTATCCAAGAATTTGGGTTATTCACTTCACTGTGACATCTGAGTGTGCTAATATGTTTAATAGCTAATATATTTTATTCTATTTCTCCATCTTTTATTTTCTTTTGTATACAATTTAACAGAAATGCACAAGAGGAGTCCTATTGCTACATTAATAAGTTATTTTCCTAGATCCTTAGGAGGGGGCTTAATCCAAATATATGTTCCAAGTTAAACTATATTTAGAAATTGAATTAGGACTATGTAAATTAGAAAACTATGGAGTAAAATAAAAGATGCAAAATGAAACTAGAGAGTTGGATCTGCAGCATAATAAAATTAATTCAAAAATGTTGATTCCAAATGTGTACATGTGTTTGTAGGTATGACCAAAAGGATGTATGTTGAAACTGTACTTGAGGGTATAAAGCAGTGTAAAGAAGAAGGCTTGGATATAGATGTAAGGTAAATAAAGTACACGGAGTGCCTCTGTTTCAAGGTTTTGTTTAGTCTGATACTCAGTCATGGTTTGCAGAGAGGTTTACAAATCAGTATAGAAAAGAAAATAGTGTCTAAACTAGATTAAGTTTAGTGATTTCTGTTAATAATTTTTATTAGCATACAATTTGACTAATAAAAGCTTTTTTACAGAAAGTCACCTGTAAAATGGAATGGAAACAGATAATTCATATGGAAACCAGTGTTTTTTTTTAAAACTTTCTTTTTACTTCTAGAGAATAAAAGTAAATGCAACTTTTCAGTTCTAACACTGTCCATTCTCTGCAATGTTTTCAGGAGCCGTGTTTTAGAAGGAAATTGCATTAAATAGTCTTTTTCAGGGCCTACATTCATTGCAAGATTTTTGTTGGATTAGCTGCACAAGCAACCTGCAGTAAAGGAGAGGTAGTTAAAATGAACAGAAAGGTTTTAGAAGATATCAGTGGTTGCTTATGGGCAAGGAATCTGCATGGCTCTCTTACTTTTTCAGTAGCAAGCAAATAGATGTATTTGTGTAAGCTGAAGATTTTTCATTTTTCCTGTGTGCCTTTCTGAGAGGTTGTTCACCTGATGCTGCAGGGTGTAAAAGAGCAATGTGTTGTTCCCTGCCCTCCCTCTCACCATGGCTGCTGCATTTCACAGGGTCACATCTTGATCTGATCGATATCCCTCTGCACTTTGGTGCCTTCATGAATAGTTTCTGTACAAATATTCTCTGTAGTCAACCACGAAGGAAGTGAAGTGCCATTTTTATTGGTATGAGATTTGTTGGTCTCTTTACAATCTAACTTGTGTTTTACTGGACATGTACGCTTATCTCCTAGATTATTAATAGCAATAAACAGAAGAGGTGGCCCAGCAGTTGCTAAGCAGACTGTTAAGCTTGCTGAAGAATTCCTTCTTTCCACTGATGGAGTTGTAGTAGGACTTGATCTCAGTGGTGATCCAACTGTAAGTTTTTGTTTTGTTTTGATCTGTCCTTAAAGATAAATATTTAATATTGTGTAACAGCAAGCAGTTCCAAAAATACTTTGTTCATTTAAGTATTTGTCCTATGTTTGTTACTAGTTTGATTGACTCGCTCATAGTTCTG